AACGTACGTCCCTTAAGATCGCCCCTGCACGGCCCAGGAGGCCCCCCAGAGGGCGCCAAGACGGCCCGGGTCCCAGGCCAGTCCCAGAGGCACCCAAGACGGCCCCAACGGCCTCCCAGAGGGCTCCAAGAGGACCCCTAGGGCAATCCAATTGGGATTGCGAGCCCCACGCCCCAAGAGGACCCCCGAGACCCCCAAGAGGCCCCTAAGCAGCCAACAAGAGGCCTCCAACACGTCTCGTAACCAGTGCAATTTGACCACCCAGAGGGCCCTGAGAGGCAAAAATGACCCCATTCCCATCGTAAATCGTACGTGTTAACCGCGTTTGTGTTTTTCGTCTTCGCACCGTCCTTGAAAGCCTCGGGGGCCAGGGGGGGGGGGCGGGCCGGTGCCTGTTCCCTCCATGGGCGCCAGCACAGGGTTGTGGGGGGGGGTCCAGAGCTCCCGAGGCGGCCCGGGCCCGCCCAGAAACAGGCCACGACAGGCTAATGGGGGTCCCGAGAGGGCCCAAGACGCTCCCAAGAGCCCCCGAAGACGCCCAAGATGCCCGCAAGACAGCCGACGGGGACTCCAACACGCTCCAGGACGGACTCAAGAGGCTCCCCAAGAGGGCCCGCTGAATTTATTCATTTCCCAATTCTTTTTGGAGAATGTTGGCGTTCCCGCTTTTCCCGCTTCCCAGCGCTCCTTCACGGCCTCGGAGGCCCTTCAGCTCGTGACGGCCCACAAGGCCCCGGAAGAGGGCCCCAAGACAAGACGGCCCAGGAGGCTCCACAGACAACCCAAGTGTGCCCCAAGAGCTTCCCAAGACGGGGCCCAAAGGGGTCCCGAGGCGGCCCAGGCCCGCCCCGCAGCAGGCCACGACAGGCTAAGGCGGTCCCGAGAGGCTCTCAAGAGGCGCCGAAGACGCCCAAGATGCCCTCAAGACGGCCGACGAGGACTCCAACACGCTCCAGGACGGACTCAAGAGGCTCCTCAAGAGGGCCCTGGGAGGCTGAATTCATTCATTGTCCGAAGGTTTTTGAAGGATTTGGGCGTTCTGGCTTTACCCGCTACCCTGCGCTCCTTCACGGCCTCGGATGCCCTTCAGATCGTGACGGCCCACGAGGCCCTGGAAGAGGGCCCCAAGACGGCTCAGGAGGCTCCCCAGACAACCCAAGTGTGCCCCAAGAGCTTCCCAAGAGTGGGCCCAGAGGGGGACCGCCAACCGATATTTCGAGGTCTCGGGCCCTAGAGGCCTCCAGTAGGCCCCTGGATCCCACCAAGATGCTCCCACGAAGCCCCGTGAGGCGCCCAAGAGGCCCCCAGGAAGCCCCACGAGACCTCCAGAGGGCTCCCAGGGAAAGCCCAAGAAGCCCCCATCACACCCTAAGAAATCATGTCCCCAGAAAGCCTTCCTGGGACATGGTTCATCATGGGCCCGAGAGTTCCTGGAGGCCCCGAAGGGCCCCCCAGGGAGCGCCCGAGAGGCCCCCAAACACACTCCAACAAATCATGTCCCCAGAAAGCCTTCCAGGGACATGGTTCACCATGGACCCGAGAGTCTCTGGAGGCTCCGAAGTACCATCACGCTACCGGAGAGCTGTCTGGGAAGTTGACTGGGAACATGACTGATCGCCTTCTCGCGGCCCCCCGCAGGTCGTTTCGCACAAGTTGCCCCAAGTGCCCACTTGAACCGACGACGACGACGACGACGAAGACGACGAAACGACGAAGACGAGGACGAGGACGACGACGACGACGACGACGAAGACGACGAAACGACGAAGACGAGGACGACGACGACGACGACGACGACGACGACGTTGACGACGACGACGACGACGACGACGACGACGACGACGACGACGACGACGACGACGACGACGACGACGACGACGACGACGACGACGACGACGACGACGACGACGACGACGACGACGACGACGACGACGACGACGACGACTGCGCGCCCCAAGAAGAGACGACGACAATGCGACTACGACGACGGCACGCCCCAACAGGCTCCCCAGGACGCCTCCAAACCCATGTTCCCAGAACGCCTTCTGGGAACCCGATTCCTCCGGCCTGCTGCGCAATCATTTTTTCCGAAAGGTTTCCGTAATGCGGATTGGCATGCGTGGATCGTGGTCCTTTACTTCAGTAGGGCCTGGGGCCTGCTAGAACCTGAGCGCGCGCAAAGTGCGCGCGATGGTTCTAGTTTATATACACATATTCCTCTTCCTATATTTTTACAAGCCAGGGCGGGGGGAAAACCCGTCACCCCCCCCAAAAACCGGACTCCCGGGATCTGGGGTTTTGGGACCCTCCGGACGGGCCTCGAAGCGGCCCCCAGATCCTCGCAGGGCGTTTTGCCAAACCTTCCCAGCACACCTACGGCGATCAGGAGGGTCATCGGAGACGTCCCAGAGACCCCCAAGACAGCACAAGAGCGCTCCAAGAGTGACCGACGTGAGCTCAAGATGGCCCAAGAGGCCTCCAGGACGGCCCCAAAGAGGGCTCCAGGAGCATTTCCAAGAAGGCCTCCCGAGGCAAAAATCATTGATTTTCGGTTGGTTTTTGGTGAATTTTGGGGTTCTCCTCTTTTCGGCTTCCCGACGCTCCAAGACGGCGATCTTCTGGGCGTCCGAAGCCGCCTGGGAGGCTCCAAAATCGCCCCACAACCATCCGAAAGGGCTTCAGGCAGACCAAGAGAGCCCCAAAACGGCACAACACGGGTCCAAGATGGCCCTCAGAGAGCCCCATGGCGGCCCAAGATGGCCCAAAGACACCCTCCGAAGCATTCGAAATCGTGACCCGGTCGTTCAGGGAGACCGCGGTTGGAGGCAGGGTGGCCCGAGGAAGCCCCCGGATGCCCCCAGAATGCGCCCAGGAGGCCTCTAGAAGAAGGCCTTAAGAAAGCCTAAAACAATTTGTGTGAGGCCCCCAGAGGCTCTCCAAGGAGGAGCCTCCGCAAAAAAGAGCTTAGGAGGATGGGGAGTGTGCGCAGGGTATGGCGAAAATAAGGAAAAATAAGCATGGAGAAAGGATAACGAATAACATTATTATAGTGGCGATGCCAGAAAAGGCAACAAGGAGGTATCGCTAAATTGTCGGCTTGACCTTCCTGCTATTGCGCCTGCATGCCACACTTCAAGGACCAAGGTGCATGGCGCGAAGCGCCACTGCAGTCTTGTATATATATATATATACATATTAATATGTGGCCGCGCCGTCTGTTCCGACGCGCGGCCTTGCGTCTTGGGGAGGGCGCCTCGGCCACCAGGGCAACCGCCTCCTTAGGTGCGGTGGGCTCGCTGTGGGTTTGCCGCGGTGCTGGCGTCGTCTACCCAGGGTGCGGGGCGCAGAGCTTGCCCGTTGTTTGCCGTGGTTTCGGCGTCGTCCGCTTGGGCGCGTCGAGAAGAGAGGTCGCGGCGGCATACATTCATAGATGCATATACGTGAAGAATGCGTTCCAGCGTGGGCCTCAAGCAGTGGGTTCATTCACTCTCCATTCGAATGTTCGACGTGGGTCCTCCATCCTCTTCCCTCCCTCCTCCGTCCACCGTCCTCCCTACTACATTCTCCTTCCTCTCTTCACTCCTCCTCGCCCTCCTCCATTTTCATACCCCTATGTTCCCTCTTTCTACTCTTCCCTCTTCTCCTCCCGCTTCTCCTCCTTCTGCTGACATCCCCCCTCCTCCCGATTCTCTCTCTCTCTCTCTCTGTCTCTCGCCCGTGCGCGTCGTCATACCTCCCTTGTCACGTTCGGCGAACGTGAGCGTCATGGCTGTAGCGCTCCAGAGGAGCGCACACAGTAATGCGCCGATTTAGGCCTGTGGTCACAAATTGAGGCTGCTGCCAGTGCGGACGCAAGAGATGCAGACAGAAATGGTGATAGAGTTGGTGCTCATGTGGGCGCGGCGGAACTAAGCAGACAGCCATTGGGAGTAGGGAGAAGGATGCCATCACACACCATAACGTGACCTGACATAGTATAATCAGGATGAGGCGATCAGGCGGGAACAAACTACACGTGCACAGAAAATTGCAGTAGGGAGCAGGCCTGCCTAAGGGTCATCAAGTACCATCGTGGGCTAATGCCGCACGGGGAGGCCAGGTCGCTTGAACATCCACCTTCGCCCAACCCACCCACATACCACGTACCCTATTGTAGAAGAGTCAAGGGACACAAAACAGGCGACGGTTTGAACCTAGGGCGGAGATGATTGCTACAAGACTATTCGCCAGACCAGTGGGGAGTAAGGCACCCCTACCGATGGTCAAACTGACGCTATAGTAAAATGTAGTAACTCTTTGTACTCTCCCCCGTTCCAAGCCCTCCCGATCCCCACTGAAGTGTATAGAGTCAAGGCAAAGAGACAGGCGACTACGGACTGGGTGCAATTCGGAAGCGCAACTGTTCAAGGTTGGAACTAGGTGCAGGTGCAGACCTGGCATGGCAGGGGCGATGTTATCCACTCCTTTGTCGGGGCTGGCACGGAAGGTAATGCATGGTCTAGTATATGCATGTCCGTTGTTAAGGAAGCGGCGAGATGCGCAGTTGTACGATCGTTATACCTCCCTCCTCCCGCTTCCCTTTCCCGCCTTTTCTCCCGCTTCCCTCACTCCTCATCGTCATCCAAGTTCTTCGTAGCGTGGTTGCCTCGACTCTACCCCCTCCCCTCCTGACCTGCTTCGCCCCTCCTCTTCTACTCCTCATGTTCCTCCTCCTACCCCTCTTCCTGAGACATGCGCCCTCGGGGTACTGTAACTCGTCCTTCTCCTGCCCCATTCCCGGCGTGAGAGCGAGCGACTGTCCAGAGGCAGGGCTTGCATGCGCTGTGGTATGCCTGTGTGTGTGTGTGTGTGCACGCCCTGTCACCCTCCGACATGCGCAAGGCCGAGCCGATCCGATCCGATCCCCCTCTCCCCCAGCGATGCCTCTGACCTCCTGGACGCTTGGTGGCTTTCGGATCACAGCTCGGGCCTCCGGCCGCGGTTCGGGGCGGCGCCGCGAGGTCTGGCTGTGCCACAAGGTGGGCTCCTGGGTGCGGTCCTTCCGCCGCCTTGGCGACGTCCTGCTCCGGGCCGTGCACCGCAGGCGGGAGGGAGGAGCGATGAGAGCGGGGAGGCGGGGGGGGGGGGTGGAGACCTCACTGCGTTGCCGCGAGCGTCTCACATGTGTTTTTAATCACCCGAGCGTCCCAGCCTACAACGGGGTGAAGTAGCCGTCGAGCGCCGTCTGGAGAGAGTCGTCGGGAACCAGTGAGCGTCTCGCAGAAGGGGGTCAGGATTGGCAGCCAAGACAGCTCGGAAGATCGGACACCAGCTAGGACCAGGAGCGTGTGCCAGTGACGTTTGCTTCTGCTGAGTCCAACACAATGCAGGAGGGAGGAGGGCGGCGGCGGCAGAGCTGCGCATGGACCCCGTGCAGCCCGGGAGCAAGGCAGAGCGATAGGGCTCTTGCCCGAAGTGTTGACGGTCTGGGCCCCAGGTTTAGGGGAGCGGCCCCGACCGAACGTGCCCGACCAAGCACGCCAACCGGAGCGGCGAGCTCAGCCGAGGCACCAGACGCGCCTCAAGCGCACTCGTCCCCCCAGATCGAGGTTGAGGTCCCGAAGGAGGTCACGGGCCCTCCTCTCCAGGGCTCCCCGGGGGGCCTGGCCGAGTATTGCATGCAGAAGGAGGGAGGGAGGACGAAGAGGAGGAGGGGGAGCACAGATCCCCTCACGTCGAATAAATAATTATTCACTGCGTGGAGCTCCCCATATGTGCATCTATTCGCATGGACCTGTCCGCCGTGAGTGTCTAGGCGCAAGAGCTTTCGAACATAAACGGGCTTCAGTTGTGACGGTCTGGTCATGAATCTAACTGAGAACGAATTGGAGTGTGAATGAGCCTCAGTAGTACGAGCGCGTCTCTGCGCGTGAGCCTGGGTCCTCCTGGGGCCTCCTGGGGCCTCCTGAAACCTACTGGAGCTTCTTGGGGCCTCCAGGAGCCTCTTGGGGCCTCCTGGGGCCTCCTGGGACCTCCAGGGGGAGGATTCGTGCCCCAGGAGAGGCCCAATCTATAGCAACAGACGTACATAAAACATTGCGGATTGGAGCCGCAGGAGATGGGGGAAATCTATAGGAACACACGTAAAACACCAAGGACTCGTGCCCCAGGAGAGGCCGTATAGGAACATAAGTACACAGGAGAAGGACAATCTATAGAACCAGATGTATAACATCAAGGATTCGTGCTCCAGGTGAGGCCCAATCTATAGGAGCATATGTAAAACACATGGGATTGGAGCCACTCCTGTTACCTTCTGAGGCCTCCTGCTCCTGGGGCCTCTCGGGGCCTCCTGTTGCCTTCCTGAAACCTCCTGGCGCTTCCTGCGGCCTCCTGGGACCTCCTGTGGCTTCCTGAGGCCTCCCGGAGCTTCCTGCTGGAGCCTCTTGGGACATCATCTGGCCTCTTGAGTCTTTCTGTGGCCTCCTGATGCCTCCTGGGACCTCATGTGGTCTCCTGGGGCCTCCTGGAGCCTGTTGGAGCCTCCTGTGGCATCCTGAGGAGAATCTGTACCCACGAGTCTGACCACCGATCGAGACATCCAACTCTGGCCCAGCTGGGAAGTGAAAATGAGCGCCTCGCTCATCCTCCAAATCTGCTCCGAAAGCGAAGGATGTGGGGACAGAAAACAGGCAAACCGCTTGAGACATCCCCACAAAACGGCCGCAAACGGGACCGTCAGATAACCTCTGGCGGCTCCCCTTAGGGGGGTGAGAATAAGCGCCTGGCTCGAGACATCCTCCAAATCTGCTCCGAAAGCGAAGGATGCTGGGACAGAAAACAGACAAACCGCTTGAGACATCCCCACAAAACGGCCGCGAACGGGACCGTGAGATAACCTGTGGCGGCCCCCCTCAGGGGGGTGAAAATGAGCGCCTCGCTCGAGACATCCTCCAAATCTGCTCCGCAAGCGAAGGATGTTGGGACAGAAAACAAGCAAACCGCTTGAGACACCCCCACAAAACTGCCGCGAACGGGACCGTGAGATAATCCCTGGCGGCTCCCCTTAGGGGCGTGCAACTGAGCGCCTCGCTCGAGATATCCATCACATCTGCTCCGAAAGCGAAGGATGTTAGGACAGAAATCAGGCAAACCGCTTGAGACATCCCCACAAAACGGCCGCAAACGGGACCGTGAGATAACCCTTGGCGGCTCCCCTTAGGGGGGGAGGGTAAATGAGCGCCTCGCTCCTGACATCCTCCAAATCTGCTCCGAAAGCGAAGGATGCTGGGACAGAAAACAGGCAAACCGCTTGAGGCATCCCCACAAAACAGCCGAGAACGGGGCGTGCGTGAGTCTCAGCATGAGTAAGTCTGAGTAGGAGTAGGTCTGAGTATGAGTAGGTCTGAGTATGAATATTTGTTGTGTATGTGAGTAAGTCTGGGTATGAGTAAGTCTGAATGTGAGTCAGTATGTGTATGAGTAAGCCTGGGTATGAGGAGGAGAGGGGGGAGAAGTAGAAAGAGGAGAAGTCGGCGGCGTCCAAGAAATAGTGTTTCACTGCGTGGAACTCCCCACATGTGCATCTATTCGCATGGACCTGTCCGCCGTGAGTGTCTAGGCGCAAGAGTATTCGAACATAAACGGGCTTCAGTTGTGACGGTCTGGTCATGAATCTAATTGAGAATGAGTTTGAGTGTGAATGAGCCTCAGTAGTACGAGCGCGGCTCTGCGCATGAACCTGGGTCCTCCTGGGGCCTCCTGGGGCCTCCTGAAACCTACTGGGGCTTCCTGAGGCCTCCGGCCTCCAGGAGCCTCTTGGGGCCTCCTGGGACCTCCTGGGACCTCCTAGGGAGGATTCGTGCCCCAGGAGAGGCCCAATCTATAGCAACAGGCGTACATAAAACATTGCGGATTGGAGCCACAGGAGAAAGGGGCAATCGATAGGAACACACCTAAAACACCAAGGACTCGTGCCCAAGGAGAGGCCCTATAAGAATATAAGTACACAGGAGAAGGGCAATATGTAGAAACATACGTATAACATCAAGGATTCGTGCTCCAGGTGAGGCCCAATCTATAGGAGCATACGTAAAACACATGGGATTGGAGCCACTCCTGTTGCCTTCTGAGGCCTCCTGCTCCTGGGGCCTCTCGGGGCCTCCAGTTGCCTTCCTGAAACCTCCTGGCGCTTCCTCTGGCCTCCTGTGGCTTCCTGAGGCCTCCTGGAGCTTCCTGGGGCCTCCTGGAGCCTCTTGGGACATCATCTGGCCTCTTGAGTCTTTCTGTGGCCTCCTGATGACTCCTGGGACCTCATGTGGTCTCCTGGGGCTTCCTGGAGCCTGTTGGAGCTCCCTGTGGCATCCTGAGGCGAATCTGTGCCCACGAGTCTGGCCACCGATCGAGACATCCTCAAAATCTGGCCCAGCTGGGAGGTACAAATGAGCGCCTCGCTCGAGACATCCTCCAAATCTGCCCCGACAGCGAAAGGTGTTGGGAGAGAAAACAGGCAAACCGCTTGAGACATCCCCACAAAACGGCCGCGAACGGGACCGTGAGATAGCCCCTGGCGGCTCCCCTTAGGGGGGTGAGAATAAGCGCCTCGCTCGAGACATCCTCCAAATCTGCTCCGAAAGCGAAGGATGCTGGGACAGACAACAGGCAAACCGCTTGAGACATCCCAGCAAAACGGCCGCGAACGCGACCGTGAGATAACCCTTGGCGGCTCCCTTTAGGGGGGTGAAACTGAGCGCCTCGCTCGAGACATCCTCCACATCTGCTCCGAAAGCGAAGGATGTTGGGACAGACAACAGGCAAACCGCTTGAGACATCCCCGCAAAACGGCCGCGAACGTGACCGTGAGATAACCCCTGGCGGCTCCCCTCAGGGGGGTGAACATGAGCGCCTCGCTCGAGACATCCTCCACATCTGCTTTGAAACCGACGGATGTTGGGACAGAAAACAAGCAAACCGCTTGAGGCATCCCCACAAGACGGCCGCGAACGGGGCGTGCGTGAGTCTCAGCACGAGTAAGTCTGAGTAGGAGTAGGTCTGAGTATGAGTAGGTCTGAGTATGAGTAATTCTGTGTGTGTGAGTAAGTCTGGGTATGAGTAAGTCTCAGTGTGAGTCAGTCTGTGCATGAGTAAGTCTGGGTATGAGGAGGAGAGGGGAGGAGAAGGAGAAGGAAGAGAAGTCGGCGGCGTCCAAGAAATTATCCACAGCTCCCCATATGTGCATCTATTCGCATGGACCTGTCCGCCGTGAATGTCTAGGCGCAAGAGCTTTCGAATATAAACGGGCTTCAGTTGTGACGGTCTGGGCATGAATCTAATTGAGAACGAATTGGAGTGTGGATGAGCCTCAGTCGTGCGAGCGCGTCTCTGCGCATGAGCCTGGGGCCTCCTGGGGCCTCCTGAAACCTACTGGGACATCCTGGGGTCTCCAGGAGCCTCTTGGGGCCTCCTGGGGCCTCCTGGGACCTCCTAGGGAGGATTCGTGCCCCAGGAGAGGCCCACTCTATAGCATGAGGCGTACATAAAACACTGCGGATTGGAGCCACAGGAGAAAGGGACAATCGGTAGGAACACACCTAAAACACCAAGGACTCGTGTCCCAGGAGAGGCCCAATAGATAGGAACCTAAGTATAACATGTAGGATTGTGTATACAGGAGAAGGGCACTCTATAGAAACTTACGTATGACATCAAGGATTCGTGCTCCAGGTGAGGCCCAATCTATAGGAGCATACGTAAAACACATGAGATTAGAGCTACTCCTGTTGCCTTCTGAGGCCTCCTGCTCCTGGGGCCTCTCGGGGCCTCCTGCTGCCTTCCGAGGCCTCCTGGCGCTTCCTGTGGCCTCCTGGAGCTTCTTGTGGCTTCCAGGCCTTCTGGAGTTTCCTGGGGCATCCTGGAGCCTCTTGGGACATCCTGTGGCCTCTTGAGTCTTTTTGTAGCCCCCTGATGCCTCCTGGGGCCTCATGTGGTCTCCTAGGGCATTCTGGAGCTTGTTGGAGCCTCATGTTGCATTCTGAAAAGAATATGCGCCCATGAGCCTGGCAGCCAAAACAGGCAAACCGATCGAGACATCCTCAACATCTAGCC